CCTCTCCAGAAAGAAAGAAATTTCCTCTAAGCTTCCCACTGTCAAAACCTCCTTCACATACCTTTGTTTTATAGTACCCTTCCTTCCCTTGCACCAAACCAACTTCTTTGTCAAAGAAAAAGAGAAGAACCCAAGAAGAAAAAAGAAAGCTTTTGATCAGAGGGGAGATGAGTTATTACGATCAGCACCAGCCGCCAGTTAGTGTTCCTCCACAGCAAGGTATGTATCATGTATGGCTTTTCTTGGATTAAGGAGTTTTGGAGTTTATGGTTTTTAATTTTGTTTAATGGATTTGTAGGGTATCCAAAGGATGCTTATCCACCACCTGGATACCCTGTTCAGGGATATCCACAAGGGTATCCTCCTCAAGGCTACCCTCCTCAAGGGTATGCTCCACAGTATGCTGCTCCTCCTCCTAGGCAAGAAACTGGTTTCCTTGAAGGATGGTATGTTTATGCCTCTCTTTATCTCTCTCCTAATCTTTTGATTAGGTGACTAGTCAAATCATTTTTCTTCTTCTTTTTCTGTTAATGGAAAGATGTTGTATTGCCTTTTGCTGTTCATCGTACTTGTTAAGTTCAGTTAAGGTTGTTTTATGCCCTGATAGTTTTTATCTGTCTAGAAATTTTTATTCATAGCAGCAGTAATTAAACGTCTTTCCACTTGTTGGCTAGTTGGTGGGTGTATGTGTATTGGAACAAAAGACTACTGCATAATTGACAAAAGACATACTTAATTAAGTTCACAAGGGCTCTTATTTGGTGATGGCAATATCTTCATTGGATCTGATGCCACTGTCATCAAGATTCTAATCTCATTTCAAATTGGGATATTTTTTTAAGAATAATATAAATTATATTTAGTGTTTTATTTTTTAAAAAATAATATAAATTATATTTGGTGTTTCATGTAGATTGAATTGATTCATGACTTGATTTCAAAGTTTTAACATCAAATGGTCAAGTAGTGTTGTATAGTAAAAGTTTTAAATTTAAAAGAATTTCATCCGAGAAATTGAGAAGTGTGTTAAAGAATAAATTTTTGGACAGAACTGATCCTTGACAATAGCTCCCATTGTTGCAGACATCAACCGTAGGCTGTCTTCTTTGTCTAATGCCTTGGTATGTTTAGTAGTAGAACAGAACCAGCCCCTGAGTCTACGCAACCTGATTGCTGCTGATGCTTCTTAATAATGAACAATTTCCATTGATTAAAAAAACATGTATATGTATTTTGTGGTGAGATATTCTAGGCAAGAGAATCGTCGACAATCGAAAAATTAGCAGGCAGCAACTATCTCGCGGTGGACCTTCTTTTGAAATGCTTTGCAGAATTTAAAATGTCAATCAGTGAAGGTTACGATTTTCTTGATTATGCCATGGTTCGGGTCTGATTAACTCGTGTTGTTAAATTCATCCGAGTCAGAGGATTGCTTGTATAAGGATTCTCTAGGGAAGGTTATTGACAGATACTACTCCTGGATAATTGAACTGAAATTTGAGAATTTTCTTGAACCGTGTGGTTTTATAATCGAATTGAATTTTGACAAGAAACTTTCTTGTTTCATGTGCAGCTTAGCAGCACTCTGTTGTTGTTGCCTCTTGGATGCTTGCTTCTGATCAGGACTTAAAAGGAGTGTTGTGGTTATTTGTTCATTAATTCCTCTGGTTTAGGTCATGACATTGTCTATCCTTGTCGGTGATTGTTTCAAACTCACTTTGGAGCTGGCTACCGTGACATGTTCTTGGTTGATTTCGTGGAGTAACTATAACGTTGTGATTTGTCTTTTGGTAGAAAAACTTGTTATTTGATCAAATAGAAGACGGATCATCCTTAATTTGTACCCCATCCCACATTTGCTTCTGTCATTTCCATACTCGTCAACGCCGAGCCCAATCTAGCAAAAGATCTGCTGATAAGGATGCGCACTTCCTAAAATATCTCGTATACATAGGCGAGAACAGGGGAACGAGTGAGATTTATCCAGACAGGCGTGAGAGTAACAATACGGTTTATAATGCTACAACGGTGAATATAGCAAGTAAAATCATACAAAAAAAAGAGGTACAAAATAACTATAACAGATGTGCAAAGAGGCGTTAAGTGATTGATAGTCTTTTCCAGAACCAGAAGGTGAATTCATCAAACTCCAACCATTAATAAGAAATCTTAATATGAGTTGATTTAAAGCTTGTTTGATTGTGTTATGTGTTGTTTTTAAAATATTTGTTGTGTTAAAATGTATTAAAATAATATATATATTTTTAATTTTAAAAAAATTATTTTTAAGATAAGCATAAAATGATTTAAAATATAAAAAAATTATCAAAAAAAAATTAAATTAAAAAAAAAAACAAATTAACTTGTATTCCTAAACATTCTCTTAATCAAGAAAACATAAAAATAGTACTTCAACACCCACTATGTGTCCATGGCTTTTTTTTCCTTGTTGGCGTATGTTATTTTGACACAAATCTTTTTGGTTCAGTGGTTCAACCTCGAGTTAGTGGATATTATAGTTATTAAAGCTAATATAGATGTAACTACTAACTCCTTGACTTGGATTCGTAGCTCAGGATAGGTTTTATTTTGAATAATTTAAGAATCAATATATTTAAATATGTCTTGAGTCTTGACCATAGCTATTAAACTTAAACTTTAACTGGTTTTTATTTTAAATAATTTTGCATATCAGCTTGTTTAAACAAGTTCATACGTATCATGTTAATTCACATGGGCTCGTCAACGTAAGTGACTACTCTCTTTCCAGCGTGTTCTCTGAGAAGAAAGGAAAAGCCATGGCAATAATTGAAGCATGCTATAGGGAAAGAGACAGAAAATTGAGCAACTAAGTCAGGGAACTTGCACCAAGTCATAGTTTATAGTGGTTTGTTTTAAGAATCATAATTGTATATAAAGTTGATGATTTTAAAATAAATATAAGTTAAATTATCTTGTAAGAATGATATTAGAAGAATGCTGGATGGCTATTGATTTTGTCATTGATATGTATATATTTTGATAATGGCATGTGATAGTGTCCGTCCCTGTACATTCCACAGAAATAATGATTGTTGGTTAATGATAATAAGATACACTTTGTTAACATCATAATAAAAAGATAATAAGATATTAGTCTCTAATAATTGCTTTAATTTGATTTGGTTACTTTTGATAATATGTCTAAAGAATGCTGGGATATGAGAAATAAACCATTTTAAAGAGAATGAAGTCTGATTATTGCTGCTTTCATTTTTCATTATTTTGAATTCTTTAATTGGTTCTCTCTCCTCTCCGCATACCTACAAGGTAACGGAATAATAAAAATTATAAAAGCCACCTTGCCTGTACAATTCTACCATCTATCCTGATTGCTGGGATATGAGAGATCTTGGGCCACTCAGAGCCATTCTCCTTTCTACAATTTTCTGATAGATGCGTACATCCCCCCCAGATATGCAATTCCTTCAATTTGGAGAGGCGTTGAATGGCTGTTGAACTTGGCATATACTTGAGATTCTTGCAATAATAAATACTAAGAGATTGAAAAGAAGAAAGGCTGGCCATCCATTCTGGCAATGCTTCCTCAAATCCCTCCCCGTTGAAATTAAATATAGTCAATTCCTCGAGGGCAGTGAGGTGTTGAAGTTGGTGGGGTACACTCTTCAGTTTATCCCATCCATATATCCTTAGGGATTTGAGGGACCCACTCAAATTGAGGTGTTGGATTGAGTTTAAAACTCCTGCAGGAAAAGCCTCCATCTCCTCTGAGAAACCACCGATGTGCAAAGACTCCAGTTGGGTGAGGCCGCCTAAGCAATCATCCTCTGGGATATCACTCAAACTGGGACACAAGGTGATTCCTAATTCAACAAGAGAATGCAATTGTCGTAAACCATGCCAATCAATAAGCTACCAATTTACATCCCCAAATAACCAATTCCTTCAAAGAATATTTCAATTCTTGAAAATCACCAGGAATTGACATCAACTCAGGGCAGCCACATATAATCAATTCCACCAGAGCTGTGCAGTGTTGTATGCTTGGAATGGATGCCAGCTTTGGACACCTCAGTATCCTTAAAACTCGAAGAGACGTGAAGCCATGAAACTCACCAGACAAATTTCTCAGTTCATCACATCCGTCAATTTCAAATTCTACAAGAGATGAAAGACGACATATCGGAATGCTTTTCAACTTTCGAAACTCCTCAATGCTCAACTTTTCAAGACGAGGAAATACTTCTGCGCTGTCACCGCTGCTATAGAACTCATGAAGCCATGAAACTCACCAGACAAATATCTCAGTTCATCACATCCGTCAATTTGAAATTCTACAATAGATGATAGACGACATATCGGAATGCTTTCCAAGTTTCCACACCTCTCAATGCTCAACTCTTCAAGACAAGGAAATACTGCAACAACTTCTCCACCTGGTACCATCCATTCTTCAAGACCATCCATCCTGGATAGAGTGAGTTTTTTCAGTGCTGGAAACAGTACTGCTGCGTTGTCACCGCTGCTATAGAACTCATTGCCTATACATTTCACATTAAGCATTCCATTCATATATAGAATCTTAAGGCGAGGAAGACATCCAAGTTTTGGGAGTTGCTTCAACTCTCTGCAACCATTCAATCTCAGCACCATCAGATTATTGAGTTGCAATATCCATGATGAGAAATTTTCACCTCCATAACCCTCAATTGTCAAGCTTCTTAGGTCTGGGTGAGGCTGCAGGCCTTCCAGCCCATCCTCGCTATTGATAATGCTGTTGCCTTCATCATCACTCCATTCAAACACCAATTTGTGCATTCTTTTTTCACGCAGTTTTGCCTTCTCAGCTTCTTCTTTGTCTCTCACTTGCTCAAGCTTGCTTATCTGCAATTCTCCTCTTAGTTCATTCAAACATCCCAGCTCTTCAACCATATGATCTGGACCCACAGCAAATAAAGGCAGAGTTTGAAGGCGTGTTAAGAGTCTCACCTCAGCTGGCACTAGCTTTGGATCATCAAAATGAAGATGTCTCAAGCTCACTAAATTCCTCATTTTCTTGGGAAGTTTTTCTAGTGACTTGCAATCAGTGAATCTTAATGTTTCCAAATGGTACAGCTTGGTGATGG